TGTTTTATTTAACAGTTCCCTCAAAGTTGGGCTTTTTCTTTTTCTTTTCAGTTTTTGCCTACTAAAAACAATGTTCTAACATTTTTCTGCATTATTCCTGTGTCTGGATTTTCATTAATTTTCTCAGGATTAATTAGATTTTAGAAGTGGATTTACTGGATGAATGAGTAGCAACATTTTGGCCAGTTGGTATGTGCTCAGTGAACTATGCTTTTCCAAACAATTGTTTAGCTCCTAATCTCACCAATAGACTGTCTAGCTAATTGTTTCATTTCAATATTTTTATAGTTTTTGACTCTTTCAATTAGACAAAATAAAGTATCGCATGTTTTTACTCACATTTCTTTGATTCTCACTGAGGGTGGACATTGTTTTTTATTTGGTTTCCATTTCTCTTTAAAATGATCAGTTGTGTTGTTGTTCATTTATTTGCTAGGATCTTAGTGTTTTGTTTTATTTAAACTTCTGTGGCCTTTTAATTAAATTTTTGTCACATTTATGCTTTTTTGAGAATTGTTCATATTTAAATCTATTGATGTTTTCCTTTGTAATTTTCCCTGTTGCTTTAAGTTTAGGAAGAACTTCCTAATCCAAAGACTAGAGAGATATTCACCAAGGTTTTTTGTTTTCTTTTTCTTTATGGGTTGATTATCTTCTATTGGCATTAATTTTGATCCATAGAATGTGGAGGTTCGTTTGCAGTATGATATTTTGTTTGGGTGGATTTCACCCCAATACCTAAGTAATTGTCTCATTCCCCTGGTTCCTTCCCATGTGTGATGCACATTTATCACACATGACATTTCTGTCACATTAGCCATCAGGGTGAGAGAGCACAACAGTTTGAAATCGCCTTCTCAGCCTTTTTCTGTCTCTTGACCTATTCTTTTGAGGATTTGCTCATTCGGACTTTTATGTATTACCCTGCTTCTTTTTTGGCCCTGTTTTTTCCCTTCTGCTTTTAATTTTTATCTCTGCACTTTGCAGAATTTTAAAAAAACTAATCCACATGTGAGAGCTGGAAGGCGGCTGCTCCGTTACATTTGTCATTGTGTTCCCTTTCACCCCTATTTAATTTTTTAAATTATAAAATTAAGTCAAGCTCTTATAGAAAATTGAGGAGGTAAGGAAAATCACAAAGAAGAAAAGTAATTAGTCTCATCACTCGAAGATATCCTGGTATTGTTAAACATTATATTATATAGAATTTAATAGAAACGATATAGTATAAGTAACAGTTTATATATGTATAAGTATATGTATATGTGAGACATTCAAATATGTAGTATATATGTTTTATTTTTATTGAATGGGAGCATCTTATATATACTACTTTGTTGCTTGCTTTGTGTCTTTTTTTTAAATCCTCGTGGGAGAACATGCTTGTTGATTTTAGAGAGAGGAGGAGTGAGGGAGAGAGAGAGTGGGAGGGAAGCATCAATAGGTTGCCTCCCACAGATGCCCCGATTGGAGACCGCGACTCGGGCATGTGCCCTGACCGGGAATCAAACCCACGACTTTTTGGCTTACAGGGTGATGCTCCAACCAGGGAAGCCATACAGGGCAGGGCTGTTGCATGCTTTTAAAAAGAACAATTCCATGTCTTAAACATTCCTCTAGAGCTTAAGTAAACTTCTTAAACTTACACAGAGTTATTTGACTAGACACTAAATAAATTAGTCTATGTGGAAGAATCTGCTATCATTTCAAAAGGGATTGGGTTTCAGAGTGGTGTGCAGGTACATGTGTCTGTTTGTGTGTGTGTGTGTGTGTGTGTGTGTACACAGAGGGTGTCAGCAACTGCATAACTGTTTTCTGAAGGTTGAATGAGTCAAAGAAGACAGTAGGTGGTACATCAGACATTTTCTATGGAGCCAAATGGTTTTGGCCACTGGCTGGCTCTTAAAATGAGCAGCATTGCAATCCAGGGAAGGACCCTTAGCTGTAGATGTCTCAGAAGAAAGACAGAATCCAGAATTTCGAGGGCAGGAGAAATCAGATGCCAAATCAAATTTGTGAGGTCAATGGCTATAAAGTCGGTGCAGTTAGAAGACAAGCCGGTGGACCCAGATCCCAGTGGGCTGCAGTCAAAAGGCTGGTGTAAGCCACGTCTGCCTGGGACTGCTGGGTGCCAGGAGGGTAGGGGAGAGCTGGAGCAAACCAGAGGCTGGCTACTAGAGAAGAGGCTCTGGACTGCACACGAGCGGGGAGGGCAATGGCGATAAATGTACTATTTACCTGGAAAGTGCAGGTTTGCGCTTTACTTTTGCCCCTTCCTGTGGGTACAGCCGTATGGCCCATGGCTGCAAATCCCTGCAGAGCTGAACAGCATGACTGTTAATTTGGGAAGACTCCTCAGTGTGTGTGGTTTGCATCCCTGAATTCCCGTGCTCGAGTAAAGGTTAGTTACATAGTGAAGATGCTTTTGTTGGCCTCCCATGGGGGGGTTCGAGGAAAGGAACACTTCCAGAGAATTTTGGGAAGTGGTTAAACTACTAAGAGTTCAGGGTGTTGTCTTGGGGGAAAACATCTCCTCATTCTTGCTTTTTCATGGAGACTCAGGAGACAGACCCAGACAGAGGTCATCTGATACACTGTGTGGCAGCTGGTCAGTGGGGCTGAGGTGGAAGGTCCAGTGGGGCAGCAATGAGAGAGAATGTTCGAAAGAGCCCTTCAACCTGAGCATGGGGTCCTTCATAGAAGGAGGCTTAGGGTTTGGACTTGATCTTGGAAGCACAAAGTTTGCATCAAAAATAAAGGGGGTACTATACGAACATCCACTTGTATCTTTAGCACTTCTTTTTCCACATGTGCTACAAATAAAGGCAATTTTTCTTTCTTTTAAATTTTATTTATTGATTTTAGAGAGAGAGGGGAAGTGAGGGAGAGACAGACACCTTGACTTGTTGTTCCCCTGGTTGGTGCATTGTGTTAACTGGCTGGTTCTCGCGTGTGCCCTGACCGGGGTCAGGTCCGTAGCCTTGGTGGGTCGGGCCGACATTCCAACCAGCTGAGCTACCGGACCAGGAGTATTTTTTATTCACATGTATTCCAATCGAGTAGACTGAAAAACTGATCCCAATGCAGATTTTAATTCGAGTAGGTTTTCATTTCTAAAATGAATGTTTTTACTAAAATTTTGTAAGCACGAATTTGACAAGTTTCAAAAGAGATAAAGATAATTAGCCCATTAGCTCTTTGCTTTTCTGATACCAGTGCCACAGGTTTATCCTATTTTATTTTATTTCATTTCATTTTGGCATAGGGATTTACATTGTTTCATGAATCTTGAACATGTGTGGATAGTAGTATGGTCCCCCCTGAACATATAAATGTTTATGAGCTTGAAACATGCTTGTGTTTGCTGCCTTATGTTTTATGTAAGAATGAATTTAAAGCGTGAAGTGTCTCCTGAGGAGGATGTCATGAGGGATTTTGTGTTTCTCTATCAGTACATTCCCATCAGCAGGCGTAAGGCTAGACCCACCGGAGTAGTCGTTGTGTGGGAACGAGTGTGTGTAAGTGATCCCTAAGCCTTTTGGGGTTGTGGTACCCTACTTTCATTTCACAGCACTTTATTTTTTTATTTTATTTTTAAATCACAGTTTGCATTCAATATAATTTTGTATGACATTCAGGTGTACAGCATAGTGGTTAGACAATTATATACTTTGCAAAGTCATCCCCCCAGTATTCCCAGCCCCCACCTGGCACCACACATAGTTATTACAATATTACTGACTATGTTCCCCCTGCTGTACTTTACATCCCCGTGACTATTTTGTAACTACCAGTCCGTACTCCTCAATCCCTTCAGCTTTTTCACCCAGCTCCCATGCAACCCTCCCCCCACCACCCCCATCCCGGCAACCATCAGTCTGTTTTCTGTGTCTACGCGTCTGTTTCAAAATGTTCATTCACTTATTTCATTCTTTAGATTCCATATGTAAGTGAAATCATGTGGTATTTGTTTTTCTCTGACTTAATTCACTTAGCTTAATACCTTCTTGGCTCATTCATGTTGTCCCAAATGACACAAGATTTCATTCTTTTTTATGGTTGAGTAATATTTCATCGTGTTTATGTGCCACAGCTGTTTTATCCACTTGTCTATTGATGGGCACTTGGGTTGCTTCCATGTCTTGGCTCCTGTAAATAATACTTCAATAACGGGTGCATATGTTCCTTCTAGTGTTTTGAGTTTCTCTGCATATATTCATAGAAGTGGAGTCACTGGGTCATAAGGAAGTTCCATTTTTAATTTTCTGGGTAACTCCACACTATTTTCCACAGCGGCTGCACCAGTCTGCATTCCCACCAAGAGCGCACCAGGGTTCCCCTATCCCCACATGCTCGCCAGCAGTTGATGTTTGTTGACTTATTGATGATGGCCATTCTGACAGGTGTGAGGTGGTATCTCACTGTGATTTCAACTTGCGTCTGTCTGATGGTTAGTGATGTTGAGCATCTTTTCATATGTGTACTGGTCATGGCACTTCCTTGACTGTCTTTGAAGTTACCCTGTGTTAAATTAAGGTAGATGAATAGAACAAGCAAGAAAATGGGGGCATTTGTTAAGATGATTACGACTATTCCACTTTGTAGTTAATACATTTGTATTGATCATTCCTTTGAGATTTGTGGTTTTCATGAATTGTCCAATTTGGGTGCATATAGTTTTTCTAATAGCTCATCATCATGCTTTTGTAAAAAGAACAAGGGAAGTGTTTCTCTCTTCCGCGTGCTACTGGACGTAAACCCTTTGGAAAGAGTGGTGTTTGGTTTCCAGGCTGTGCACAGGGCTCCAGCCTGTACGCTGGCCTCGCAGCCTGTGGTCTCGTTGCTTCCCTAGGACAACCACCAGTCTCCCCTGCAGTGTGGACTTGAGGCCTCTTTGGAAAGAGTTCTAGTTCTAGACCTTCGCTTCCTGAGTGCCCAGGGACTGTGGTAATACTCAGAATATAGTTTAAAAATGATAATTTGTACTTTTCTTTTACTAGGTAAAAAAGCTCCCGTCTTATTCAGTAGAGAAATGATCGAGTCGATGAAGGAAGGCTCTGTTGTCGTGGACTTGGCTGCCGAGGCTGGCGGCAACTTCGAGACCACGAGGCCAGGGGAACTGTATATTCATAAGGTACGTGCTGCTGCTGTGATTCTCGTGAGACGGCTCGTGCCTTGAGATGTTTAGAGAAACCGAAGCCAAAAAGGAGCCTCAGCACATTTAAGGCTCCTTTTGGACTATGTATTTGTTCGTATGTGCATATATTTCTAAAGATGTAGAATTTCTAAACTTGCCCTTGCCCGTGACTGGGACTTGTTCTAGAAAGAGTGTGAACACGTGGCTACAGAGCTTTCTGACGGCATTTGTGTTTGTTTAGGGCATTACACACATAGGCTACACAGACCTCCCCAGCCGCATGGCCACGCAGGCCAGCACCCTGTATTCCAACAACATCACCAAGCTCCTGAAGGCCATCAGCCCTGACAAAGATAACTTTTATTTTGAAGTGAAAGATGACTTCGACTTTGGTACAATGGGCCATGTCATTAGAGGGACTGTGGTGATGAAGGTAAGCAAAGAGATCTGGTTCTTCCTGAGTTTTCATTGTAGGTTTGCTTTAGGGTTTCTGCTCATGGGAGAGTCCTGTTTGGGAATCGAGATCTATTCTAATAGAGTATTGTTATGCTGGATTTATGTCAATAAAAATCATTTAAAAATGCAGAACGATTTAAGTATTGAAAAGACATATACATATAATATATATATATATATATATATATGCATTGCTTTTGAAAAACAAAACAAAAAATCAGAATTGGAAAAAGTAAAAACGAAGTGTTTCTCAAATCTATCTGCTTTTAAGGGCTTGCTCTGTATTCTTCTGTGTGTGTTTTATGCACATGCAAATTACATGTCTATGCCTGTGTGTAATAACAATGTTGCATATTTATGTGCATATGCATTAATGCATTATGTATTTATATAAAATGATAAGCTATGCATTATTAGAATTTATCTAAAATTATGTTTAAAAGAACATTTTATCCCCCACATTGTATATATTTGAAACATTGGGTTGACTTACAAAATGCTGTTTTTCTGATTTCCGTTAGGATGGCAAAGTGATTTTCCCTGCTCCCACACCCAAAAATATTCCTCAAGGTGCCCCAGCGAAGCCCAAGACGGTGGCTGAGCTGGAAGCCGAAAAGGCGGCGTCCGTGACTCCCTTCAGGAAAACGATGACCACGGCTTCCGCCTACACGGCAGGTGCGGACCCCACTCATCCCACTTAGCCGTGATTTTTTGAATTTAGAAAGTGATGTATTCTTTGTCAAAACTGTTAAGTGAAATACTTGCGCCCGTCTGTGGGTTCCATTCGGAATCGGGCCTGTTGGGGCGGTGTTTTTTGCCCTGCCCCCTTTGGAAGTGGAGATTGTGTGGATTCGCTGCCCCAGAGGTAGGAGGCACTGTGCTCAACACGGCAATGAGTGTGTGTGAAAGAATGTACAAGCTAATACTTTCCTTTATAAAAGCACCGTAAACGTCATTGTTAATATTTTTATCTACGTCAGGTAGAGTGAGTAATGATGTCCGTCAGATTTTGTTGATGTTGGGTGTGTAGAAATGTGTGTGTGTTTGTGTTTGGTGGTTTATCGAACCTCAGTTGTGATCGCCTGCACGGCTGGGACAGACTAGGGCCCCGCTGCTTCCGTGGAAAGCAGGCACCGCAACACAGGCACGGCCTTCGGATGATTGCCCAGCACTCTGACCTGCTCACCCGGTAAAAAAAAAACACCCAGTTTTTAAATACTTATCTTTTTCTTTATAATTTAGTGTCAGTTCTTTGCTTTTAAATCCATCTTTGTGAAAACACTAATAAATTACTGTAGTGCAAGGACAGATACTCATTCTGGCTTTGAACTGTTGTGTCTGACATAGGGATATTTGATATTACATTGGTTTCTCTCCCAGAGAATGAATTAGAAATGTTTAGACCTGCTTAGAGCCAAAACAAAAGCCAAACAAGAGCAAACTATACAGAATTAAGGATCGGCACCAGCGGAGAGAATTCTTGTAGCCTCAGCGTTCTCCCCACTTCCCCGGGAGGCCAGCTGTTGGAAAGCCAAGTACATAAAACTAACTCTCCTTGAATAAAGAGCAAGTCTCAGCAAAATGACCAGAAAACCCTCTGGTTGTGGACATTGTGACTAGATGGGGCAGTGTCCCTACTTGCACTTATTGGTTAAAAAAAAAAAGAAGCCATACTTTTGCAGTGTACATGGAGAGCATTGCCGGGAGCATTGCAAGTTGCCATCTGTCTTCGGGATTCATGAGGGAACACAGAGAGGCCTGCACAATGATTTGTTTTTCTGGGTTTCTCTTTATGTTGCTTAAGGCAAAGTTATTGCATTTTCATAGACGTGACAATAGCATGTTCCAGTGAATGAGAGGATGGCCTTATGTTTGTTTTGTTTTACCTCGAACTTCCTCCTTTGTAATAAAAAACAAGTATTTTTATTGTCCATGTGTTGAGGAATCTAGTTGAATAGTATGCTTCAAGAAATTTGATTTTCTTTTTTCTCTGCCTTTCTCGTTCCTGTTTTATACAGACTATACAAATAGCACAATTGACATTACATGTAGTATAGAAAGGATATTAGTTTCTTAAGTAGGTGATAGGAATACCTTCAGCCATGTGATTTCTATCTTTTTCCAGATGGGAACAAAGAGGTTTAATGATTGTACAGGTGTAGCACAGCGAGGTTAAGTAATCTTGCCTGAGATCACACAGCTGGCAAGCAGTTGAGTCGGGCTTCGAAGCAGGCAGTCTGGCTTAAGAAAAGGTGTCCTTAGCCGGAGCCCTGGCCAGCTTCTCTCATGATTAGCTGGGACCTGACACACAATCCTATCTAACTCTCCCTCCGGATGGTTAACAGGCCCTGCATTAGAAGTCTTACGGGTGTGGGAAACTAGAAATCAAAACTACAGTTTTATTGAATGATTGAAGGTAAAATTAATGTGTGATCTGTGCCACTGATAAAGAAATAGTTCACATCAAGGGAGAAAAGTACCTCATTCAGGAAAAGTAAATTCCGGCTCCCTGGTCACCCATTGTCCTCCTGTGTCTCCCGACCACAAGGTCGCCCTTTCCTCTCTTCCAGAACTGCTGTCCTCGTGTTTGCTGGCCGGAGAGGCGATAATTAAAGATGCATGTTCAGAGCTGACTATATTCTGCACATTCTTAATTTAATTTGTATTCCCCCTCCCCTTTTCTTTGTACACTCTTGTTTGCTGACTTGGTGTTGAGGCGGGAGCTGACTGCCCCAGCCAGCAGTCCGGCCCAGATTCGGGAGCAATTGCAAAACTCTGTCCCGGGTGGGTGGAAGCCATATGTTCTGGGGAGGTGCCGGAGGAAATGAAGTCCTTCCTACTCTTTTCAAATCCCTCTTCCTCAGCCAAATCTGAACGGACATAAAATTGGCTTCACGGAAGTCCTGTAGCATGTCTGGGGTGTCTGCCCCAAGTAGAAAGACCTTCGTTAGGTCTTTTGTAGGCCTGTTGTTTTGGGGTAAAGATACTTGTACGGACACACATGGCACCATCTTCGGGGAAACTTAAACCAGGCAAGGGAATGAGCCACACGAGGGAAAATGTGCAAACTGTTATTAAGGCAACTCATTGATTCGAATAGATCTGTACAATTTATTTTATTTTGGGGCTCGATGGAACACGAAGTTGCGTTTCGTTCCCAGTGCCTTTCACCTTGGCTCTGCCCCCTTTCCCAGTCGCGAAAGGTCTCCAAACTCTGTTCGTTGCTGGCAAGTGCGTGGACTCGCAAAGCCCCGACTGTGCCACGTCTGTTTCTGTGTTGGGGGGTGTGTGCGCTTCTCACAGTCCATGGACGCCTGGCCGTCAGCTCACCCTCTGTCCTCTCCTCCTCCAGGGCTCACGGGGGTCCTGGGCTTGGGCCTTGCTGCTCCCAATTTGGCCTTCTCCCAGATGGTGACCACCTTTGGCTTGGCCGGCATCGTGGGCTACCACACCGTCTGGGGAGTGACCCCCGCCCTCCACTCACCGCTGATGTCTGTGACCAATGCAATCTCAGGTTTGTTCCTCGCCTTCCCTCGTGGGTTACAGAGTGCTCACCATGAGGTTCACGGAGTCTGTGTTATGGAGGCACATGAGGTTGTGGAGTCTGTGTGTGCGCCTTGTATGGCTCGGCATCTGGGCGTGTGCTGGGTGACCCGGGCCCCCACAGGGCCTGGAGCTGAGCCTCCATTTCAAGCAGTGCAGGTCGCTGTTACTGCTTTCAGTTATGATTTCCTTCAAAGAAAGGATTCCTCCGATAGCATTTGGAAACCCGTGTTTCCTAGGATCGCAGCTCCTGCAGTGTCCTTTTGGGGCCTTAGATTCAGCTAAGCCTTCCGTGTAGCCAGTGTACTGTGGGCTACCGGGCCCCAAGCTTGAGAAGTTGATGGGACAGGAAACACAGCGAATTGCAAGGCAGCCCCTGGCGCCTGTCTTGGTGCGAGTCCTCACCGAGGCCTGTCCACACCGCTGCCCTCGAGCTGTTCCCTTCGGCCCCCAGCGAGGGCTCAGTTCCAAGGAATGAGACCCAATGCGCACAGACATGGGAGCTGCCCTGCTGGAAGCATCCTGGCCCCAGGGGGCCGCTCTTGTAACCTTGTCGCAGGCACAGCTTTCGGGATCTCCGCAGGGATAACGTCCGATTCCAAGAAGCGCTGTCCCCGGGAAAGCCCCGCACCATGGCTTCCGCAGCGCGGGTTCCAGTTCAGGGATGGTCCTTCCAGTTCTGATGCAATTTTTCCTCCAGGGGCCCTTCTTACCATAAGCCCCATGGCTTAATAGCCCTATTGATTTATGTCTTTGTCAGGGGAACAGAGATAAAAAAGATAAGGGGAGGTCAAGATTTTATGCAAAAGGAGAAGGAGTTTTGTTAACTCTTTGCCTAGAGAGTTTTTCAGTGGGAATGGTGTGTGAGAACTTTCTGCTTTATGAATCGGTCCATGCGGGTCCATCCCCTGTGATGTTTGACTGGCGGTGTCACTGTAACCCTTGACCCCACTACTGCTGTCTCCGCAGGGCTGACTGCAGTTGGCGGGCTGGCGCTGATGGGAGGACACTTGTACCCTTCCACGACTGCTCAGGGCCTCGCTGCTCTTGCCACGTTCATATCCTCGGTCAACATTGCAGGTACGATGTCGGTGCAAGAAGCTGCAGTGCTGTTTTGAGTGGAGACAGGAGAAACAAATATAATTGTAATTATAAAATAGACTTTCCGAGGTTAACAGTTTGTGCCTTGAAAAAAATGTTTCACTGAGACCCTAAATGCTCTCTGTGAGGGGAAATTACTTTATTTTGCCTGTCTGTAATTTTTAGGAACTCTTGATCAAGCCCCCAGTGCCCCCCCAAACACATAGAATGATGCCTTTGCTGCAGGTTAGCTGGCAAGTTATTAATGCATAGTCTGGCGCTACGTTGATGAAGCACTATCACCATAACATCTCTAAATGAGTGTAATTTGAGATAAAACTTTAGCCTTTTGCCTTAGACTGGCTTGTGTTTGTTTCTAAAATCTGAAAGCCTAGCACATAAATTTGTGCATGAAACTCATCTGATGCTATTTTGTAGCTAGAGATTCTTGAACGGGTCCAAGAAACTTGGTGCCGGTTGGCGTGGTCCTTTTTCTTTTTACCTTTCGTTATAGGGTTTATGAGCCAGGATAACCTGTTGGAAAATAAATCCTGGCCTTTAATGGTTTGCATTCCTAAGCTGTTTGAAAGGTTGTTTACTTGTAGTCATGCGGAAATAGTTGGTTTTGCACCAATAGCAAATTTAGGGGATCTTTCCTTCCTTCAAAGGAACAGGCTCGAGTAATAAAATAACTCCTAATGTTGATGGTCTAAAATGTTACTCAAAAGGATGTTTATCTATAGATGATAAAGATGTGCTTAAAACTGAAAAATTATAGCACTTTAAGGAATCATGTTGCCCGGTACGATAACCTTTGTGTTTTCTATTTACCTTGCTAAGGTGGCTTTCTGGTGACTCAGAGAATGCTGGACATGTTCAAGCGCCCCACGGATCCCCCAGAATACAATTACCTGTATCTGCTCCCCGCTGGCACCTTTGTGGGAGGATATTTAGCTGCCCTCTCCAGTGGTTATAACATTGAACAAGTAAGAGGCTCTTCAGAAAGTTTTGTTTTTGCCACTGTCTTTTCCCCTTCAGTGGAGTGACGTAACAGCGTCATCACCAATGTTCAAACTCTGTCAAGCAGATACAGCAGCAACTCTAGAAACATCTTCGTCAAAGACAACATTTCCAGCCCCAGAGAATCAGGGCCCTGGACTCTGGAGACAGGTTTACCCCAGAACTGAATGCACAGACCTGGTGTGCCTGTTTGTCCCAGGTTTTTCCACGTCTTAGGAGAAATGAGGAAGTTGTTAGTATCCTCTTTATGCATCCGGCTGGATTATTGTAGGGATACAAGGAAATGATCAGTAACAAATTTGAAAAATGTCTGTTACTAAATACTCTTAGTCCTTTTCTTCCCGCCCCGCTGCCACAATTTCAGTACATCATCTCTTATTAAGAGACGTTATGCCAATTAAGTTAAAAAAGGTAGTTTAAAAACACATCCTCCATAGAACAACAAATAATCAAGTTGAACTTTGAAAGGTCTTTGAACTGAGCGTGTTCCACTTCTTCCCAATGACTAGCACCAGACTGCAGCCTCCCAGACAGCAGAAAAATCAAGTCTCCCTCGACTCCTCCCATTTCCAACGCATGGCGTTTGTTGAATAAACAAAATCTCTTCTGACAACGTTGGGAGCCGTGAGTCAGGGAGAGGCACGTCTGACCCAGATTTGCTATTTGCTGGTCATCCAACCTCGGAAAAATGGTGTAACCTCTTTAAACTTTGGTTTTCTCACTTGTGAAGTGAGGCCGACGATTTTCTCCTCCCATGGGTCTCCAGGGACTGAGTTGCGGCATTCGAGATGCGTGTGGCCTGGTCCCTGGCACTTAGGGCATTAGTGGCTGCTTCCTTTGTGGCATTTGGTCATTTCCCATAACGACATAATTTAAATTTAGGTGCCTTTCTATGTCTTGTGCGTTCGATCAAATCCCGAAGAAACCAGTGCGCACAGATGGTATAATCGCAAGTACAATGTATTTAGTATTCCCAATAGATAGGAGAATATACTGAAGTAGTAAAAGAAGAGCTCATGTTGGTCTCTCTGTTGTCCGAATCTAAAATTGTCTTTGGAGAACCCTGTTTCCTGTGTTCGTACACTGAAAGTTTTGATCGCCTCTGTCTCTCTCTCCCTCTCTCCCTTTTCCCCTGGGAAGATCATGTACCTGGGCTCAGGCCTGTGCTGTGTTGGTGCCCTGGCCGGCCTTTCCACCCAGGGAACTGCTCGTCTTGGCAATGCCTTGGGCATGATTGGTGTGGCTGGAGGCCTGGCAGCCACGCTGGGCGGCCTGAACCCGAGCCCCGAATTGTTGGCCCAGATGTCCGGAGCGATGGCTTTGGGCGGCACCATGGGTAAGCACTCGTGGGCTTCTGCCTCTGCCTGCACCCAGGCCCACGTCTTAGGCTGCTTTTAATTCTACCAAAGTACTTAATTAAAGGTTTTAAAGTGTTTGCGTTTGAATGAGAATTATACCAACTGGGATGACTTTTCACCAAAATAAAATAAATTATGTTAGAAACAGAGTTAATAATGCCGCGATAATTTTCTAGTTGATAGGTTGTTTTTTTTTTTTATCTTGGCTCTCGAGGTTTCCCTGTTTACTGTATCTGTGGGGTAGAAATACCGGGTTCCCCTCTTCCCAACTCCAGGCTTCATGACCGTGTTGGTGGCTTGAATTTGACTGTGGTGGTTGTATTTACACCATGGAAATCAACAAATGCTACACATCTTCTTCATTGTTTCATCGATTGTCCAGACCTTAGAAGGCAGTGGAGAAAATGTTAGCAGTGCCATTTAAACCGGAAACTGTGCTGTGTCTGTAGCCATTATGTCATGAACGGCACAAGAAACTGAACCAGTGTCCCTCAGGTGTTTGTAGACTGGGGCCAGACTCAGCGAAGTTGGCACTCACGTGGCTGACAGTGAGTGAAGTTCTCACACGCGTCTTGTTTCGTTTTCGTCTTACTTCTTACTACTGACAAAACTGTTAACCCAACTTCACCTGGAACCACTCTCGTTCATCAGCAAACGCGAGGTTGGCCAACACCAACAAAAGCATTCTGTGAACATCAGTCAGCCATATGGAATTTACCATGAAGAGTATTGCATTTTTCATGATCACTCGGAAACGGTGTGCTGCATACCCCTCTATCCGTGAAAGGTCGAGTGCGTGTCTATACACACGGATGTTTTTGCCCGAGGAGCTGCTGGTTAAATACTTACTGTGCACTGTCCCCTGGCCCCTTTCACCCTGGCTCTGCCCAGAAAGGCGCTTGCAGGAAGACGAGCTGTGCTGTGAGTGCAGGCAGGAAAGCCTTTGGGCATGAACTTAGCCTTTTCATATTACCTGGCTGGAGGCGTGTAACTCCTTCAGCGTCTCCTGATTCGGACATTTACACCCAGATGTGTGCATTTCACTGCCTTTGGACTTTGCTTCTGTCCACCCACCTGAAAACCTAGGCTTCCTTCATATCTGGCAGTTTCCTGTGGGCACAGCCTGGGTCATTCTTGCCGTGGGGGGAATTTAAGGGGGTGATCACGTGAGGTTGTGCTCGGTCAGGGTGTATGCGGAGGCCGGGAAGGGAAGGGGCTCTTTGGAGCTGGGCCTTGCTTAGGTGTGTTCTCTATGAAGGGGTGGATGTGACCGGTGTCCTTAGCACCTGTCCAGTCCCTCTAAAGTGTCTTTAGCCCATGTTAGGAAGCAGATAATTAGTGGTGACGAGGATGGAAATCCTTAAGCAGGGTCTTTATTGCGGTTACCTTCCAAGGGCCTGTCCAGTTTTAATTCCTCTTTGACCTGCATTTTCCGACAGGACTGACGATCGCCAAACGCATCCAGATTTCCGACTTACCTCAGTTAGTGGCTGCCTTCCACAGCTTGGTGGGCTTGGCGGCCGTGCTGACCTGCATAGCCGAGTACATTGTGGAGTACCCACATTTCGCCACGGACGCGGCAGCGAACCTCACCAAGATCGTGGCCTACCTCGGGACCTACATCGGCGGGGTCACATTCAGTGGGTCTCTCATTGCCTACGGAAAATTGCAGGGTAAGTGGGTCCACACAATAGGAGGTTGAATAGCTATTGTTTAGGGTGAGGGGGTTAGAGGTCCATTTCGATTTCAGAAAATAGCTTAACAGTAGAACCTGTTAGCTAAGGAGTTTGAGTAGCACTCAGAATAGATAAACATTTTTTTTCTCCCTATAAAGGTGGCTTTCTATCATCATTACAAATTTCATTGCTTGGAAGCTTGTTCTTCTGCACACAGGTGGGGGCAGAAACAGGGCACAGGCTTTTGCCCAGAGGGGCTGAGTGATGTTTGAGGATATCGATATGTGTGAACAAAACAACATCTTCCTAATCCTTGGTTTCCAGAACAGAGGGAAGCTTACTGAATAAGTTTATGTGATTAGTACACAGTACGTCTCTTGAAAACAAACACACATTTTAGGGCTCTAGTTTGGCAACTTTTGTGACTGCTGAAACTAAACATGAAAATAGAAGCAGAGAAAAAAACTCCACGTAGGCTGCTTTCAGGATTTCCATGAAAAAGTGAGTGTCTAGAAAAGCTAGTTTGTGATTTAAAAAATCTCGTCTTGCCTCTTAGTCATCAAGTCACTAAATTTAAGAGGGTAACTTCCATGAAAGTTAAACATTGTAAAAGGAACTTAAGACCGACAACGTCTTATGCTTTGTCTTTAGACACAGCTAGAGAGCGGACGTCCTCTCACCTGGGCTCAGTTAATAGCATCTGAAATGCTTATGCTCTAGGACTTTGTTGTGACATTTTAAATAAAGAAGACGTTTAACTTCCATGTCGGTCCTGCGGGAAAAAGGGGTGTTTTGCGACTCCGTGACCAGAGTAAAGAAACTGCCGTGTGGTCACGTAGGAACGGCCTAGTGGGGGCGCTCTGTTCCTGCTGCCTGCAGGTACCCTCTCCCTGTAGGAACCCTGCTCTCCCAGTGCGGCTCCCGGTGGTCCGGAGCGACAGTTTGGATGTTGCGTTTTAACTCTAACATCGCGTTTTGGTAGTTGTGGGTTAGGTGACCTGCACTCGTGCGTGCGGCGTTCTGACCGCCCTGTGCTCGGCTCTAGGGATCCTGAACTCCGCGCCCCTGCTGCTGCCCGGGAGACACATGCTGAACGCCGGCCTGCTGGCCACCAGCGTGGGCGGGATCATCCCGTTCATGCTGGACCCCAGCTTCACCACCGGCATCCTCTGCCTGGGCTCCGTGTCGGCGCTCTCCTCCGTCATGGTAAGTACGAGTCGGGGATGGGAAGGCCCACCAGGCGCAGGTGGCCAGGAGCTGGCGGCGGGTTATCAGATTAGAGGCCTGTCCTAATTTCTTTCGCTTCAAGACCCCTGACAGAATCAATATGTTTTAAAATGATGTTGGGTGTTTGTTTTAAGAATCTGGAAAGTAGAGGAAAGTGTAAGGAGAAAATCACTTTTTCTACTGAATCGTTCTTTTTAAAGTTGACACACGTGACATCTTTATTGCTTTGGGGTCATTTCACTGGATCAGTGTGTTTTAAAAGGCCAAGTCTTCATTCATTCATTCATTCATATTTATTGAACTGAGAGAGAGAGAGAAAGAGGTGTCACTTGGCTGTTCCACTTACTGATACACTCACTGCTTAACTCTCGTGTGTGCCGTGCCCAGGGATCGAACCTCCTCCCTTGGTGTGTCTGGATGGTGCTCTAACCAGCCGAGCTTACCCAGCCAGGCTGAAAAGCCAAGTGTCTCCATTCCATTCATTCCGTGCCTGCTGTGTGACAAGGCCCATAGAGCAGTTTCTGCACTGAGTGTAGGGTAGTCCCCGTCCACTGGTTGCTCTCACATTCATTGGCAGCTGTGGTGCCAAGTCAAATAAATCTGTAAAATGAAAGGCTCGTAATAAACTGCTCAGTGAGGGAGTTCAGGGAAGCCTTTCACGACAGGTCTGTCCTCCTCTTCCTCTCTGGTTTTCCCACTTAGGATGTTGATTACATACAGTGTTCTTCAGTGGTCTATATTGACCACGTATCGTTTTATTTTACCTGTGCGTGATGCTGTAGCGTACCGCTCTGTGTTATTAATGAACGGCGTCGCGTTTATCTGGTCTAGTGTGTGCTTTGTAAACAGGGTTTATGTTTTCAGTATTTTAAATAATTTAGTGTTATAGATATATAACAATTGCTTATCAAATACTGGCTGCATGGTTCAGAAACACAAGATTTAGTGTTCAGATGATACTGATTTTTATGTAATCCTAAGAGTTTGGCTGTGATTTTATCACAGAACCTTTAGAACACTGAAAAGTAACTTAAAATTCTATCTTTCTATGACTATTGATGATCTAGTTTCTTCTGACTTATCTAGCACTGACTTTTGTTTTATTTTAAACAAAAGAAAAATAGTTTTGATTTTTTTAAGTAGTAGTGCAGAAGAAGTAAAAAAATTTCTCAAAATCAAACCTGTAGCATTGAAATGTAAAACTTCAAGGATTGTTAGCTTTGAGAGGAGGAGAATTTGATATTTAAAAGATACTTAATGAATCTATGAGAATGTCTGAATGAGATAAAACATTTCATGGACTAATATAATTGGCTTTGACTTCAGCAAGTAGTACAAGAACACATCTACATCATAAGAAACTCAGAACATGTAGGAGTGTGTGGAATACAAAGCAGAAATCTTTCTCTCCTCCATCGCTTTTCCTTTTTGGTTTAGTGATTTTGGGTCACATCAAGGACTTCGTGAAAGATAGACTTTGGATCCTGTCGTATTCCTCCAAGGGGTATTGGTTATTGCTGTTTTAAATTTGTTTTTGTAGGTACCTCACCAGGCTGGGCCCAGATTGCAAAATCTGGCTTCCCTGTGGTAGGGGGCAGCTGCAGGATGGCGTGGAGTCTGCCCACATGTGCCTAGTTCAGGAGTCAGCCAGAGCGTTAGGCGGAGTTTATGAGCAGAATTTCGGGCTTTCTTTTTATGGTCTCCTCCTTTGCAGAATTTACTTTCTCAATTTCCAGCTGCCTTAGCCACCCTGAACCCTACCCCTGGATCTTCAGTCTAGTGAGACCGTGGGCTTATATTTTGTTTTTGCTGTTGCACTTGGCACCAACAAGCACCTGCCTGGAGGCGAATGCCACAAAAGCTGGGACGTTTCTTCAGTTCACTTGCTTCTTTCCAGACCCCCGTCCGGGTCGGCCTGCTTCCATCACTGCCCGTTGGGGACTTCGGGACTTTTCTGTGGGAAGGTGGTTCCGGGTGTACATTTGTTCCATCTGTGGGAGAGTTGGCTGGGTGGGGGCACCTGGTCGTTACCAGCTGAGAAACGTGTATGTAGATATAGTAACTGGAAATGGACAACTGGAATGGTTAAGGACCAAGATGCTCCATGTCGGAGGCTTTACTTTTTGTTTTCTGAACTCTGACCCAAGCTTGCCTTTGTCCCCAGGGCGTGACTCTGACGGCCGCCATCGGGGGTGCAGACATGCCTGTGGTCATCACGGTGCTGAACAGCTACTCTGGCTGGGCCCTGTGCGCTGAGGGCTTCCTGCTCAACAACAACCTGCTGACCATCGTGGGCGCGCTCATCGGCTCCTCTGGTGCCATCCTCTCCTACATCATGTGTGTGGTAAGGGACGTGCGCTGGGCAGACACGTGCCTGGTGGACACGGGCAAGCTCCGCAGGCAAGGACCGGCCAGTCGGTCCTTTACATTCGCTTCAGTCCAAGTACCAAGGGGTAGCATTTGAATAAGTTTGCTAGGCTGCTTTTAAAGAACTCCAGTGTAGACCATCAGAAAAATTAAATACGAACAAAAATCTTCTCACTCTCTCTGAGAGAAACACTTAAGGTTTTGGTTCATTTCCTTCCACTGTATTTTTTTTTTTTTTGGTATATTACATATCTGTATTTACTTGCCTGATCACAAGGGACACTTTTACATTTAGTTTTTAATCTTACAAACTATATATTCTTGGCATTTTCTTATCATTAAAAATGCTTTTTCAGGTATTATTTTGAGGGACTTTATGCTAATCCATCACATGAATGTACAAAATATATTTAATCCTTCCCTAACGCTGCACCTGTCAGGTCGTTTGGTTGTTATTTCTCTCTGCGTGTAAGTACGTCTTTGGCAGTTCAGATCTTTGCCTGACGACCAGGCTGTCCGCAGGAAGGGGCGTGCTCATTTCCAGGGCTGTCTCTGCTCATTGCCCAGTGGTTTCCGGAAAGCTTGGGGCAGTTCCCACAGGCCGTCTGTGGGAGCGCCCTCCTGGAGTTTCATGGTCAGCATGCTTTTTCTTAAAAAGAAAAAATGAACAAGACAAATACTCTCTAGCTTCCTTTTTAAAAATTCTCTTCTTGATGGCCAGCAGATATCCTGCAAATAATTAAGGGTTTGACTAGAAACCTTTCTGTAATTATAGATATTATTATCTAAATACTGGTTTTGAATGACTGAAAGTTCAAGCACGAAGCTGAGTGAAATCAGTATGCGAACTTTACATTTATTAATGATGCAGAAAAGAATGCTTATCCTGCCTCAATTTTTATTACATTATTGAAAAAACTCATATCTTACAAGTGAGATTTTCTCTGATACTTTAATCGAAAAACTCATTGTAAATTGAATGCTGGGTTTATCCTTTTTTATTAAGAAATTAGTTCTTTTTGGTCATGTTATAAAAAAGGATTTGATAGCCCAAGTTCAAAACAAATTAAGAGGTTTTAAAATCATATCCCTCATGTTGTTCAGGGAGTTTTGGAAAGGTGGAGGTTGTGTGTCTCCTATTTGGAAAATGTCAGGCTTTAGGCTTAGAAAAATGTGTATGATGAAGAAAACATTCATTCAGTTGTATTGGAAATAGTTTTCTTAAAATGAACCTTTAACCCTTCCTTAGTTTGACTTGGCTTCACTTGGTGAATTTGAATGACCAGCAGGGGGCAGCAGATTTTCATGGATACTTAAAGGTTATACAAAATACTGATTTAAAATTAAATGGGAGGATTTAAGTTTTAACAAAGCTAGAGGCACTCTGGGGAGAGAAGGGGAGGGCTTGTACCTAGATCTTAGAGTGGCCTCATGGGTACCTATTTACCTTTCTTCTTTTTTCCTTGAATGGTTTTCTTTGCCTTCTCAAGTTTACCAGTACTAATTCCCTAATTTCTGTCTCTTTTATTTCTTCTTCATTTCTTTTCCCTTCTTCATGTAATTTCTTAATTTTGGTTATAATAACTATAGTAACTTTGACAGTAGCCGTTGTATAATAGTAACTAAAGTAAAAGGGGCACATGTTGAAAATACCCTTTTCTATGTGTACTTACGTATTAGTATATCATTTTTCTCTTAATTTCTTCTATTTCCTATTTCTTGATCTGCTTTCTCTACTTCCTTTTTTTGTTGTTGTTTTTCTCTCTCTGTCCTCTGCTTCCTTCAGGCGTGCCATTCACTATCAGCATCCTGCAGATCTTTTTTTCATTTCTATACTGTGTGTAAGGCCGAGAAGGCATTCTTACAGCTGTCTGCGGCCATAAGTGTCGCCCCGGGTCAGATTAATACTCTGTAGTAGCCAATTTCATTAATGTGGATTCAAGGACAGTTGAAGTTTTCATTTTTAAAAATTATTCAGTTATGAAGATAAAGGACATTTAATGTGAGAAATTTGGAAGAAAATAGAAAAGGATGAGTAAGGAAATAAAATCATTTGTATTTCCATTACCACTTAACTGTTAACATTTAATAATCGAATTATAGCTTTTTCACATGCATATGTTTGCATTCTGTATTGTGTAATTTTCTAACTAGCAGTTTTCTAACAGTTTATAGTGTCTGCTAAGATGGTATTACATCATATTACAATGTAATTTATTTACCCACGAACATTTTATGAGCTGTTTTTACCTTTTTTCCCCTTTGCAGCTCATTCTCCTTGTGCACCTTTGATTATTTCCTTGGGCCAATTTTTTTTTTAAATTACTTTGTCAAAGGGAATAGGATCTTCGTGTTGGCTGTTGACGTTGACAAATTGATGTCCACAAGGGATTCACCGGGGAAAGTCCTCCCCAGGGGGTGATGCGTGGGGGGGGGGGTGCTTTCCTGAATGCTCTCTGCTCCTATCTTGTCACACAGCGAAGACAGCAGCAAGGGAAACAAGCCTGCCGAACGTTTTCGCTTCAAAGGCAGGCATTTTCTTCACTTCTAAACTTTCCTGATTTCTGACTTTTCACATTCCCCTTCCTTGATTCTCAGCCTGTGCTTGCATATGATAAGAAATTGTTTCTTCGTGGCTGGTGCTGAGCAGCGCAGGATGGCTGCTGGCCATCGGGCCCAGCACCAGATTGCCAGCCCAGTGCCCGGTGCTTTATGGGTCGTAGCTCCCTTACTCCCCACACTGAGTCTGGAGGTAGGAAATGCTGTCTTCGTGTTGCAAGGAAGGTATTTCACGATGTCATTCATTATTTGCTTTGTTCACGGAGCCTGACCTGGCACATTCAAATGAATATAATAGTTGTTAAATAACTCTCAGGTGTGTGCTTTATTGTTAGCTCCTTTCATATTTGGGAATCCTCTCTAGATAGGTTACGATAGCAGATGCTCTATCATATCTCAATACCTGTTATTACTACCAGTGTATTTACCTTCCTTATTTTATTTTGTACAGAGATGTGCAAGTCCAAGCCAGAGCAGGGTGGGTTTGTTGTGTCAGAGGGAAGGGTCTGCACTGAGGGGACTGGTCAGCAGTCCCTGAGACTGAGTTTTTGCTCTGACAGTTGTTTTGGGTGTCCCCTGAGTCCAGTGTTGTGGTTACACAACACCCAGTATTATAAAATCCAAGAAGTGTCAACAGCATTTAGAGAACCAGCTCCAAGGAATAATTTGCCTTATATCCAGATGTCATTCGATATTATTCTTTTTATGATTTTATAGTCCATTTACTTGGGAAATGGAACAGCATTTTCAGACCAAAATTTTTTGATTTTTGCATTTTGCCACTTGTTTTCGAAAGATGATAGAACAGAATGAAGTGGATTCGTGCCAAAGTGGTTTTTTGTGGTTTTTTTTGGCCTCATGACCAATTTATTAGCACCTACAAAGCATTGAAATGAGAGATGCTACTAAATGGCATATATATTGTTGTTGCTTTTGTCTTGTCTCTTTCATGACCTTTCCTTTGTTTTCATATTTTTTTCTTACATTTTGCTTCGAATTATTTGAATTAAGGATCTTTTTAATGTAGCACACCATTTTCATTATAGGGCTTAACAACTTGAAAGGAACAGTCTTGGAGTGTTGCAAACGCTTTGTCTCAGAAGCTGGGAACTCTTCAGTCTGGGGATCAGTGGTCACATGATAGTCTCATTAATCACTCAAGCACTTAGACAAGCCAAAAAAAAAGAGAAAGAAAAGAGGAAACCACGCCCTGAACCCTAAACATTTGTTGAAAATATGATGTTGCAATGGTAAATTCAGAGACGCAAAATAATTTAGTTTTTAAGAGACCACATGGAATTAGCTTAATGGTGATATAATTGTGGATATGTGTTTAACAAGTTGACTTTGATCGTTAAACTACTGGGTGGTTCCCTAGTTTCCTCCCTAAGATGCCATCAGAAGAGGGTACGCGCTAATTAAGTGTCCTTAGGAATTCTTTCCTTCTCCATTTTGTTTTATAGGAAGTGAAGAGTGGCTCCTCTTAAGTCAAGTTAGAATAAAGGGGCTGTTTGTCTACATCTGTCTCTGGGCCATGTCCCTCAGTCCTCAGTCCTTCTCAGCAGTGTAGGGACATGTCTCCCCTGAGGGGTAGTAGGCGGGGCTGTCTTTGGGTGGGGAGACATATTTTTTCCTCTGTTACTTATCACTGCAAATCTCCAGGTGCCTTTTTGCTTTTTAATAATAATGTGTCTTTTTAAAAAAGTAATAGGTTGATACTTATATGGCTTATAAGTGGTATAAACAATGGATCAATGATATGTTTATTACAACCTTTAAAATAGGGTTTGATAATTTTTGGAGTTTTTTTTTGAAGTGATAAACTCAGTGCTGATTATGTGGAATGACTGCTTTGATCATGTACAGGAACTTGAACTCTTAAAGTACATTTGATTGTTCAAAACATCTAACTTCCTGTCTTTTCATTTTTTAAATAGATTTTTAGAGAGAGAGGAGGCAAGGGAGGGAGAAAGGGGAAGAGAGAGAAAGATTTGTTGTTTCATTTATTCATGCATTTATTGCTTGTTTTTTATGTGTGTCCTTATTGGGGGTCAAACCCACAACCTTGGCATATGGGATGTTGCTCTAACCAACTGAGCTACCTGGCCAGGGCTGTCCTTTCTTTTACCATCTCACCTCAAGGGGTTTACAAATGAACTCTTTTCCAAACGCAATCAGTTACCATTATGTTTCAGTTGCACCGTTTGCATGGGAAGGACATTATTAGGTGATTATACAACAAGAACAAGAAGTGCCTTCCTATCGTTTTTTCCATGATAATTTTTCTAGGTTAAATGGGTGGGTGTGTAGTTTAATGAAACAACATATAACTTATCTATATTTTTGGAAATAAAATATTTTAGGAGTCTAATAATGCATCCAGTCACTTCTATTATAGCTTCATGGAGCTGATTTGGAAAATAAGACAGTAGCAATTTCTACATTTTTTTTTCCTTGACGGCAGAGGGCAGCAGAGCTCTAAATGAAATGAATCCCTACCCCTTTTTCTCCCGGTGGCTTCTGGACAGCTTGCAGCTGGTAGCAGAACTCACCTGAGAGATCTGTAGGGTCACCTTGCAGAATGTCACGTCCGTGTGCTTTCTCTTTCCTCCTGTGAAATCGTGGGAGTGAGTATGGAAGTGCAGCCTGCTCCGTCAGTGTGCAGAGGACAGTAACCAGATCCGCGGTTTCCATTAATTTCTTAATGTAACTGGTAACTTTCCATGAAGTACCTTAAAAAAATCTCACTCTCTTGTAGGAAATATATTTGAGTATAGTTGATTTTGTAGAAAAGTACATGTAGTTGCCCAGATGTATTCTTTTCATTTAACTTTTTGAAATAATTTTCAGAAGCTAGATCAAATTATGTGGCCCAGATGTTTCAGATGGTCAGATACACCTCTTTAAATGGTTCTGAATACCATAGGCATGGACCATTGTCTGAAAGTTACGTGGATTGAGCGCTCACAGCAGATCGTTCTGCGTTCCAGGCTATGAATCGCTCCCTGGCCAATGTGATTCTCGGTGGCTACGGCACCACGTCGACAGCTGGTGGAAAACCTATGGAAATTACTGGAACACATACAGAAATCAACCTCGACAATGCAGTTGACATGATTCGAGAAGCTAATAGCATCATTATTACTCCAGGTAAAGGAAAAAAAGCAAAAGCAAACGAATAACCTGTAATAGCTGTTGCAGTTGATCTAGTGGGCACTCACTGGGATCACTGGGATGAATCGAACTGGGACTCGTTTATTTCTGGAAATACAAGGGCAACTTAGGAGCAACCTTATCCTTGCAAAGTGAAAAATATTGAGAATTCTCAGCTTAGCTTAATATTTTGGGGATCACATAGACATTCTACAAATTGATGAAGTGTACCGTGTCTTTCGGTGATTCTGTACACATGTGTAAACCATCTTTGTGTCTTGGTTATTTATTGATAATTTGGGGGCCTATTGTCAGGATTACATTAGATATAGTACATGAAAGGACCTAGCTCAGTCTTTAGCCTTGCCCAGTAAGTGTTAACCTGTTTCTTTTAAAAGTAAATACTTAAAAAATCATTGTGAGTCCTGTGGTTTCCAACAAGCTGAGGTCCCCTGGCCTAGGAGAGAGAGTCTGGGAGTCTCAGTTGGTTTCATTTTGCTTCGGACAATGGACAGGACATTGGCCAAGTCATTTGATCTCTTTAGGCCTCAGTTTCCTCCTTTTCTGAGGCCGAGTTCAGTTCTTCCCTGCTACGATGGCAGTGTGCTGCGGTGTTATAGGCAAAACCTCGGTTTCAGATGAACGTTTTCACTCTCATGTTATATCATAGGAGTTTTCTGTGAAGAAAATCTTCTGATTTGACATGTGGGTGCTTTGGTTGGTTATATACTTAGACATTAATGAAGGTAAACATAATTGAATGCTCGGGTGAAAGCCTTCTCACCTGGGGTCAGGGTCATCTCCTGGAGATGCTGGACAAGTGGGCTTAGGGTTCTGACGGTCTGAGTCAGGGCAGTGGCTGTCCACTGTGTGTGGGAGCAGACACGTTCTTTTGCTCTAATGTCTGGGATGTTCCCGCACGAAGAATTGTCCCCGTCTGGGTGGCCCTGGTGTTACCTGTTGAGAAACACGGTGCTGGAGGTGGAAAGATGTGACGGACATACTCTTTCCTGTGGGCATTTTGCATCTGAGTCAGATCGATGATGCAGGTGGGTTATAGAAAGAGCTAAGCTGGACTATGTGGACGGTTTTTCTGTTCCAGGGAACAGGAAAGATGGTCGTAGCTGAGGATTTGTTCTGGGCCTTAGAGGGTGGGTGGTGTCGGGAGTGGGGGAAGGCAGAGGAGACAGCCTGAGAAGAGACTGGAATCTGGGAAGATGGGGTAGGACAGTGGGACAGATAGGTGACTTCACAGTCCAGGGAGCGAAGGTTAAAGAAGAAAGAGGACTAAGGCTTTTGGTCGTACCTGTACCAGCATCAGAAATCTGGAGGGTTGTGTTTTTTTGTTTGTTTTTTGGCAGAGGGAAACATTTTAAGTTCCATTTCGAAGACATTAAGCTTGAGGTGGAGATGAGGTGGAGGTGGACAGTGGACCCGCTGTACTGGAGCTTGAACAGGGGGCTGAGCCTGGGACGGACTGTGAGCTGGCAGATGGTGTTGAAGGCACAGGACGGGCTGAGGTTTCCCAAGGGGAGTGTGAGGCAGGGTCCAAGCCACGCGGAGCTTCGTGGTGCGAGGGGGCAGCGGGAGAAGCCCGGGGCAAGGAAAGAGGCAGAAGAGAAGGAAGTGAGGAAGGAAACCAGGGACTGCAGTGTGACCAAGGCTATGCATGCAGAGGGTCTGAACACATTTCTCTGTGTGTGTATGTGTGTGTGTGAGAGAGAGAGATGGACAGAAAGGGACGGAGACAGACAGACAGACATAGAGAGCAGACAGAGAAAGAGACAGAGAGACACACAGAGCAGACAGACAGAGGGAACACAAGAGTGTGTGTGTGTGTGTGTGTGTGTGTGGGGAGGTGCCCAGCACTATCAGACCTGCACAGAACTGTGGAGGAACCCTTAGATTTTGAAGTTGAAATTTAGGCCAGTATTTTAAAAAGTCCACATTATAACGTTGCTTTCATTTCTAGTCCTGCTGTTGGACTGCTGTTTTTGGCATTAAAATGATTTGATCAAGAAAGAAATTAAAAAATTTCAAACTAAAAAACATATCTCAAACGAAAACCCACCTCCTTAACGCGTCGATCCTGTCCCTCGCAGGCTACGGTCTCTGTGCGGCCAAGGCGCAGTACCCCATCGCCGACCTGGTCAAGATGCTCTGCGCCCAGGGCAAGAACGTCAGGTAGGCGCATGCGCGGGGGGGGGGGCTCGCAGAGGGAGGTGAGGGGGGGATGGCTGTGAGCGAGAGGAAAACCGCTGACTGTTAGAGGCCTGTGCCTTTTTCCCTGTGACCTTAAGTTCAGTTTCTGTGAATTCAGAAAGTAGTATTGTGCTTACTGAATACAATTCAAAAGGCCTACGTAAATAGGAAGAAGAACAAGGTGACCGCAGTCCCCGGGAGCCCTCTGGCCCCCTTCCCACCACATAAGCATCGGTTTTCCGCGGTGGGAGCGGTCATCCTGTACCTGTAACTGCGCGCTCGTTCACCAGCGCCCCTCCCCCGTTCCGGGTGCTCTGCAGTTTCGGAGACACTCCTCTGGTGACCAACTGCAGAGTAACCCGAGGACACCTGTCTTCCGCCGCGAGGGTCGTGGACGGTGAGAGCAGGGACGTTACTTCGGGAGACGGCTCACGCCCTGGCCCCGAGGCCAGAGCTGAGCAGCTCCAAGTCCACACCAGCATCAACCGACAGAACTTTCTGTGAAAATGGGAGCCTTCTAGAGCTGTAGGCTCCCGGTAGGTAGCCCCTGACCTCTCCTGCCTACCCAGCACTTCACTGGGCTGAGACTGGGAAATTGAGTTAAAAAAGTAAAAAAGAAAATTATTAAATTTTCAATTACAGTTGACATTCAATATTTTATTGGTTTCTGGAGTAGGGCATAGTGGTCAGACATTTATGACTGTTTCTCAAGGTGCAGTTTTGCATATGTAACCTTAGGTAAAGAAACTAAGTTGCAAAAAAACCCGTTTTGGCCTTATTCTTACTACCTGGTTTTTGCCATCTCTGTCTAATAGCATGAAACCTAAATATAGGCTTATTTTAAAGATTATTTATTTATTTATTTCTAGAGAGAGGGGAAGGAAGGGAGAAAGAGAGGGAGAGAAACATCAATGTGTGGTTGCCTCTCTCATGCCCCCTAATGGGGACCTGGCCTGCAACCCAGGCCTGTGCCCTGACTAGGAATAGAACTGGCGACCCTTTGGTTTACAGACTGGCACTCAATCCACTGAGCCATGCTAGTCAAGGTGATATAGGCTTATTTTAGAAAGGGAGATTTAGTGCTCATATTTATTCCAGGATATTTATTAATGGGGTGAAACAGAAGCCCTGTTTCTCTGTGGTTTGATTTAGGGAAGAAAGTCAAGGCCTTTGAGCCACATCCAGGTGTGGCTGTGGCCTCTGTCACTGACACCAAAGGCAACCATTGTAGGCGCGAGGTCTTTGAAGAGGGTGCCCCGGGAAGCCGTGCATGGCCTAACATTGGACGCATTCAGCTCTCGGACTCTCAGGGTGGAAGAGGCTGCTGAAATTTCTCTCTTTCTGAACCCATCCACTTTTCGAAATATGAATTGGAGCTGTGGTGGCCAGGGGCTGTCTGGGCAGAGGACTCTGCTCTTGGGAGAGTAGAAGAATGGCAAAGGGGAGCACTCTGCATTTCTAGATCATTCCAAAGGGCCTTGGATAGAGAGTGGGTTTGAGGGATGTAACAGTGGGGCCAGTGGGAGCTGACCCTGGAGGCTCCTGGTGTCTGTCCTTCGCTCCTTTGGATCCCTGCTCTGGAGCTTGGTTGGGAGGTGGTGCAGGGGCTGTGCGGACTTCTCCCTGGGAGGGAAGGCCGACTGCTGTGTTTTGTGGGGGAGCAGGTACATCGCCTTGAGAGACAAGACAACTGTGATTAAGTGAATTAGTTAGTTCACCAGGATGTTAATGTATGTCCACAAAGCTGTTTTTATTTTTATTTTTTTATTGATTATGCCATTACATTTGTTCTATTCCCCCCTTCATTCCCCTCCACCCTGCCCCCCCATCCCCACCATTACCCCCCCTTTAGTTTATGTCCATGTGTCTCAAGTCCTTTAGATTCTATATTTCCCATACTATTCTTGCCCCCCCATCTATTTTCTATCTCCTGTCTATGCTACTTATTTTCTGTACCTTCTCCCCCCTTCTCCTCCTCCCACTCCCCTGTTGCTAACCCTCCTTGAGATCTTCATTTCTATGTTTCCATTCCTGATCTAGCTGTCCTTTTAGTTTGCTTTTGTTTTAGGTGTGGTTGTTAATAACTGTGAGTTTGCTGTCCTTTCACTTTTCGTGTTTTTTTAAACTTCTTTTTCTTCGATAAGTCCCTTTAACATTTCATATAATAAGGGCTTGGTGATGATGAACTCCTTGAATTTGATCTTATCTGAGAAGCACTTAGCTGTTGATGTCCATAAATAAAGATCCCTTGTAGATGCCAACCGTATACTTTTGCATGAGGGCAGATGATAAGAAAATAAGCCAGCCCCAGCTGGTGTGGCTCAGTGGATTGAGCGCCTGCCTGCGAGTGAAAAAGTTGCTGGTTTGATTCCCAGTCAGGACACATGCCTGGGATGCAGGCCAGGTCCCCAGTGAGGGTGTGCAAGAGGCAACCAATCTATGTTTCTCTCCCTCCCTTCCCCTCTCTAAAAATAAATAAATAAAGTCTTTTTAAAAAAAAAAAAGAAAAGAAGTGAAATGGTGTGCCTCAACCTAGAACTGTTCAGGATGTTTGCAGGACTGTGTGTAGTCAGCTGGACTGTTAGTAGCGGTGAGAGACTCCTGATAAAATCAGGGTGTTACCTGAAATGTTCACCGTAGGTGGCGTTTTCTTTCTTTCTCCTTTCTGTCTTTCCCCCCACCCTCTCTTCTCTCACTTCTTCCTCCAATCTCTGCAATCTCAAGTCTGTGCGTTTTACATGGGAAGCGTTAAAATACTGTTTTGGGGCAGGACCGGCATTCCTGGGCTGCCCAGGGCTCCCACGGTTAGTATTTCCCGAGCGCACCGCAGACAGAAGGTCAGAAAAGGCGTTGACTGTGTCTCTTCATTCTCATGTAAGAAGTCTCATTTCAGCGACTCGTTCCTAGTTTCACGTGAGCTCTGAAACGCTGCCTCCCTTTTAGTCACGGTTGCCACTCAGAGCATTTGCAGACCTACAAGTGGAAAAGATGTGTTGAAGGATCTCGAATGATTTTCCTAAAAAGAAATGGTCTCTCTGTATTCAATCCACATGTGGGAAGTCGGATGTATTAGCAGTGCCTTCTGTCACCACAGTAAATGTTTAGGAGATGAGTGGCAAACAGAACGTGGAGAGAGAAGGGAATGATTCATTTGACGTTGCTCTCTGCTTACTGCTGGTCAGCGGTGTCCTCTAGGTGTCGGGGAAGACGGGTCCAGTTTTAGGTGGGCTGGAGAGGGTCTTACGGCTGCTTGATGGTTGGAGAGGGTCTTACAGCTGCTTGACGGGCAGCTTGATGGGAGGCAGGACATGAACGGAGAGGAATGAGCGGGTGGAAGAGAAGACCTGAAAAGGGAAGGGTAAGACCCCTGGAAGTTTAGTTTCTGATCTCATCGAAGTTTGCATTTTGTCCACGAGGACGTACACACTGCCATTGTCGGGCGGCATCTGTCACACTGCCTGGGAAAAGTCATTATTTGACTGAAGATTTATGGGAGATATTTAACTGTGTTAGTAGATAATAGATTTTTTTTTTTTTTACTATAGTAGGTCGAACTTCCCACATGGGCTTTGTAACAAGTTATGTAAATCTCATGTTTGATTTAAATGGGGCAGAGCTGTTCTTACTAATGACATGATGAATGTGAATTACGTATTTTTCCTTTCTTCTGTGTGAAGATTTTTTGTTTTAATTCGAAGGGAATCATATGAACTTTGTTGATTTTGCTTCAAGCATGTCGTCATCTTTTCCGAGCAGAAATGCGTATTTTCTTTACAGAGTTAGGAATACGTATGGACAAGCCGCTGGCTGCTTTTTCAAGAGACAGACTGCCCTTTTCAACAGGAGATGGCTGCCGCGGTTACCTCGGGTTTTAATGAAAGAAGTCTGTATTTACAGTTTTGCGGTCATCTAGCCCTTTCATCACCCCTGGCGCTCCCGCTGTGTTCATTGAGCACAGCTGCAGGGCTCTGGTTCGAGGAGCGCTTTGCGCCCCGGGACCCCAGCGTGCCCAGCGAACAGATGTGGTGACGTATTCACCCTGTCTCTGGGGGAAAGGTGCCAGTGTGGACACACGACTGTCATCAGCGAGTTATGTCCACGTGGCGCCAAGACAAATCGAATCTGTCACGCGGACTGTCTGACCTCATGGCCCGTGATTGATGGCGAGACGCCCATGTGCCTTCCCTTTGGCTGCAGCCACAACATGGTCATGGGCAGCTGAGGGAGGGTGACTCGGCCCGGCGTTGCTGCTGCCCAGGTGCCCAGGTGCCTCTGGAGCTTACCTAACCTGCCCTTGGTTTCTGAAAGCATTTCAGGGGAAAAGCTTATTTCCCCTGAAGGGAACGTTTTTTGTCCTTATTTCCTAATCCTTGCATTGATATGATAGGCTTGCCCTTATAAAGTAGAGCTAGCTTTCCTAGTGAATAATTCCTAGAAAGAGGTATAATTTTTTTTTAATAATCACTGCTTGAGTTTCTTTTTATGAAGAATTACTAGCTTGGATTATCACAGAAGTTTTTGAATTTATCAAACCACCTTTCAACTTCTTAAATTGACTAACTGATGTTAAATAGTGCTTTCATATTGATGTTCAACTATATCTTTCTCTTCCTAATTTATTGATAGAAATTTATTACTGGGCACTGAGACTGCAAGAATAGTACATTAGGCCAGTTTCCACTCTCAAAGTTTATAGTTGTAAAGAAAGCGAATCTGTAAACAAAGGAAGCAGCCGATGGACTCTGTTCACCGGGACCATTTGCAGAAGTGGGGAAGGAAAGGCAGGGAGAAGGGCAGGTGACCCCCAGGGACATTGCAACCCGCTTATACCACCTGTCACGCAAAGGTTTTTTGCAGGTTTTTAAAAATAAGTATTTTTTCTTCCTCTGTCTCTCAACACCTCTAGCTGCCAGTGGTACTTAGAGTTTAATAGTGTTTTACGGTCTTGTCTGACATGGCTGTCAGTGTAAATGTATGTTATT